AAATACAAAATAAATAGCACCATTAAATTTCTTGTAAAAAACTGGTTATTATGAAGTTATTTTAAAATTTGTAAGTTCAACCGTTTGTTTCCTATAGCAAACAAAATAAACAAACTTCCTCTTTTATATATATATAGATAAATAAGGGTCTTTTGTAAGTTTCTATTTTTAAGTTGTAACTTCTACTAGTTCTAGACTAGTTAGTGTTTTCACTCTTAGGAGGCCTTTTTGCAGGGAGAAGAATATCTGGGACAGTGGAATATTGAAGTTTTGCACCGAGAGTATTTTGAAAGAAAAGGTAATAAAGTGATTTAGTTTTCATATTTACTTTATAATTCATATTTTAATATTATATTCAAATTTAACTTTTAAGTTCTTAGTTTCAAAAGGAAATATTCAAATAAATTTTAAATTTTCAAAAAGTTCAATTCTCTATATCATGTGAAACTTCTTTGCTTTAATTTACTCATTTTAGATTTTCTTTCTACTTCTATATCATCAGTATATGACCTTCTTAGTTAGACACAAATTACAAACATACAGAAATTGCTAAGATATAACTTTCTAGCCACAAATCTTTCTGCTTTACTGAGATTGAGAATGAGATATAAACCAGAAAGTTTATCCACATGCTATGCCCTCCTATCACATGCTATCTTTCAAAAACTGTCAATAATTCTTTCTTACATTTGTTATTGGATTATTTATAACCAATGGAAAAAGAATATTTTAATATGCTGAATTTCCTATCAGGTTAATATGTTTTAACAACAGTTTTTGAATTATTCAATGTACAGTATTATTGTTGCTATCACTGAGGTCACCTCAATCAGCTAACAGAATTATTTTAACACACATGTAGCATAGGTATAAGGCCAGTTAAATTAAAATAGATTTAAGACATTGTATTTCTTTGCATGCTAATATTTTGTGTTCTGACTTTTTATTTGAAATAAAAATTACCAAAAGTACTACCAACAATCCTACCAAAAAGTACTAATTTTTGTCAAAACCACATTTACAAAAAAAGTACTAATTTCTCATTTATGTATATTTTATTTATTATTAAAGTAAAATGTAGAAATTTATAAGGTGAGATAAGAAAGCTTAAATGAACAAGAAAATTAAATATTCAATAGGATGTATTGTGAAGGAAAATATTGTAATTTGACTGAGTGTGATGGTAATTCAATAGTTTGTTTTCACAAACCTGCCCTGCTATAATAAATTGCTTTTGCCATTTCTCTAAATGCAGCTGTAAAGCAATAAATCTAAATGTCAGTCTAATAAAAAGTATACTCTGAGTGAGGCCTAACTAGTGAATTATGCAACAAAACCATAGCTTCTTTATATGTGTAGTCAGTATTACTATGCATACAACCTTTAAATTCTGCAATAGAAGTTAGAACACTGTCTCAAAGTCTTAATAATTATATCAACCAGCTTCCCAACATCATTTTTCTCATCCAGTTAACTAAGAAATGGTTTTGATACCTGTGGTGAGTACAGCACAGGTAGCCCATTGTGTAACTTTGTGCTTAATAAACAAAAAAAACACATAGTTAAGAGGATTTGCATCTGAATTATGTGTAATTTTTATTGTTGTATCATTGTTATTTCATTTGCAGATTCTTTTATATAATTAGTTAAAAATAATTCAATGTTCAGTCCATGCGACAAGAACAATTTATTTTATTTCTTCATTTAACATTTTTACAAGCTTGAACATTTGTACATTGTCGTAACTTGTTATAGGCGTATGTTAAAAATGACATTAACTAATGTTAAACAAATTAACTTGTACATTGCAACCCAATAAGTGTGAAAGCAAATACAGATCTAAAACTTCATGATAACACATTGACTGCTTCAGTGCTGTATATTGAAATAACTGCACACTTCACAACTATTTAATATTTGTAATATAGCTTTGAGTGTTGAAGAAAAACTTGATGTCAACTAACAAACAAATTACAACATTGAAAATATAGCTTACAGCAATATTATAACCCATATTCATAACATTTACCGTAATTGTAATATGCAGCATGTTTGTCTAACTAACCAAAGTATTCTTGTTACAGTTAGCCAGACATAATATTTTTATATCATCAATAAACATAACAACTTATGATTTTGCTCTATCAATGCCATTAATTCAAATGAAGAATAGCAATGGTCCCAGCATATATCAGTAGTAAACAGGTAATTATTGTAATAACTATTAAGTGCGACACTAATGTATACACTGTAATGATACATCAATCCAACTTAGTTTTATAATGTCTTTGTATTTTTTTCGTTATTCTTTCAGTAAATGGTAATTTCATAAATTTGATGTATTACTGTGGCCCCCCTTAAGTACTATTGCAGACCCCCAGGGGGCCTGTGAACCACGTGCTTTCACCTCTTAGTTTTGTTGCTCTAAATCAGCCGTCTTTAATCTAAATGTCAAAAAACTAAAAATGGTCCACCTTTAGTCTTAGGTGAAGCTGTAGTAAAAATTTCAGACTGACAGCTCACGTGAATTTTTGCATAAGTATGCATAAAAATTTTGGTCAAATTTGAATAGTTTTTGTGGAATAACTTTGCACATCTGGCTTATATTTAGACCAAAGTTGACACCTAATTGTAGATTGTAAAGATCTATCAGTGTACCAAATTTGGGAAAAAATCATTTAGATAAGTATGTTTTTCTATTAAATAACATTTCTGTACTTTTGGTACAAAGAAGAAAGAAAAAGAAATTCAATCAAAATTAGAGATTTTATATCTTATGTATTTCTTAATGGATTGCCTTGTGATTTAGCATGTGGAATAAGGGCCCAGTAGCACAAATCCACTAAAAATATGTAATAGTTTGAATTACCACAGTCCGAGCTACAGAAAGTAGAAAATTGTTAAACTATCACTTCTGTTAATAACACACAGTGTGTCCTGCAGGTTGTTTTGGCTGCACAACACACTACCATGTGTCTTGATTTCAGAAAACCTGAGAAAAGCTTTTATGGTAATTAATAGTCCAATCAAATAAAAACATTGACATCTGATGTTTCTTTTTGATACTGTATAGTAATGTAAGAACACCTGGCTGTTTTTATTAATCTCCAAAAAAAATAGTTAGGCTTCAGACTGTTTCAGATCTACACTTACTTATACAACATTAAACAATATAGTTATTAATTTCTGAAAAAATAGTGAGGATTCAGACTGTCTTAGGTCTGTGCTTACTTATAAAGCATTAAACTATATGGTTATTAATTTCTGAGAAAAAATGGATGAGGGGAGTTTTGTCCTTTGAACTCCTTTCCCTAGATCCACACCTGCTTTTACATCAATTAAATAATACAGCTATTAATTACAAAAAAAAATGGAGAGGAGGGGTCTCAACCTACTTCCTGAGATCTGAACCTACTTATATAATATTAGACAATATAGTTCATAACTTCTGAACAAATGGGCAATAGAGCCCTTCCCAAGATCCATGCGTGCTTATACAAGATTAAAGAATACAGTTAAGCAATTATGAGTTAGGAATATATCACAATATATAAAAAAACTAGTAAATTTACACTTTATTAACATTTACATAGCTAGTTTTATGATTTTTAATTCATTTTGGTTTCTTTTCAGTCTAGGTACTTGTCTGACTTGTAAGTATGACTCGCTGGGCAAGAACAAAGAGTGCGCATAGGCATGAGCGGCTTCCTAAAGATTCTACTCCATGGTCAGAATTTGTTGAGCATGTAACCAGTGAGGAAAATACATCAAAGGCTCATGGATCTAAGGATATGAAGAAATCATCTAAGCTAAAAAAGATAAAAAATGATAAAACTAAATCAGTTGATTTGGTCCAGGATAAAAAGAATGAAACACACAAACAGAAAGTTAGAACAGGTAGAAATGATACTTGTGACTTACAAAGTTTCGATAGATATGATACAGAAGTTTCTAAGAAGAGTCCTTCTTTTAAGAAAAGTAAAAGCTCTGAATTTATTGTCAAAAAACAAAAAAAAGCTAAACTTAAAAAATTTTGCAAATCTGATGAGCTAAATAAATCTGCAACCAATTTTTGTAATGTTAAGAGTCAAGAAACTGAGGTATCTGATTCTCAAAGTAAAGAAAATGAAGTGTTTCATATGAATAAACAGTCTGGTGAAAAGTCACAGTTACCTAAAAAAGCCAAGAGAAAGAGAATGAACAGTCAGTCTATACACCAGGATGAAAATGAACCGAGTAAGAAACAAAGAAAAAGTAAAGAAAAGTCAGAAGAGCAAGGAATATTGATGAACACTAAAAATGCAAAGTCATTTAGTGAAGAAACTACAAAAGAAAAAAAAGATGAGATAGAAAATAAGGTTAGTAAAACGTTTAAAAACAAAAAGAATGAGATGAAAAGAAGACAGCTTTTAAAAAAAAGACAAGAAAATGGGATAATTCTCTTACCACCCAAAGTTGAAAAACAAATTTACAGATTAAAGAAGAGTTTACGAAATAAAGGATTATCAGGAGAAGACATTCGTCAAATAGTTCGCCAGAAGAGACGTGGAGAAGAGTTGAAGTATCGAAAGACACTGTTGAAGGTAATAAAAGACCATAAGTTACAGCTATCATGAGTCTGCTAGTTTAACCAAGAGATAAAGAATTGTTTAATATGATAATATACTAGACTTTCACTACATTCTTATGAGTTAGTTAGGTTGCTTACACCTTGCACATTTATTAAGAAAGAGCGAAGAGCTTAATTTTCATGTGAGAAATTTATTCAGTTCACATTTAAATTGCTACATTACTTTTAGGCAGATTTATCAGAAATCTATTTAAAAAATAATCACAATCCTAGCTGTATTCATTCATTTTAACTGCTACAAAACTTGTTATAAAGTTTTTTAAGGTCTTAACAGAACATGAAATTACATTAAAGCAGTAACCTACCTCACCAAGGCTTGTTGACTTCATCAGAATTTCTCGCAAAACTGCAGTTCTGAATGTCAGAACACTTCTTTCACTTTGATCACCCTAATGAAGGTATACCATACAAATTTGTTTAATATAAACCTCATTTTTTTCCAGAGTCATTATAACATTCTTTATCATTTATTTTAGGCTTATCAGACAGTGTTTTCATTGCAAAAATCATATGGCTTAGTTTGTAATACAGAATTATTAATAAGGTCCTGTATTACAGATGACGTCTTTTTTCTTTAAATTTATTGTAAGAAATAGTTTCACTGTCACAATATTTTCTGTCTAAATTTTCATAGTTGACATTGCCTGGTAATACTGGTAATGTATTGTTGTAATTATTTCTGTCATTGAGTGGGTTTTTTTTTTTCACTATTCAGTAAAAATAATGCAAAGTCTATTCCATTTAATGAAAGGAAAGCATTTTTATTTTCTTTAACTGAAAATTTTACAACTTGCCTAGTTTCATGAACTAAAACAACCAAGTGATAAGCCTAAATTACAAGTATTACTCAACATTAATTTCATTAGTAAATTTCCTGTCTTATATATATTGAATCAAAATTTCCTAATTCAGTTAATAATTAACAACACTGTAACAGACTTACTGACTAATTTAATTACTTCTAATCAACTGACTAACTTTCTTAAGTTTTTATACTGTTATGTTATTTTTATCCCTGAATCTCTAGAAGAATTGGATCATCATGTGCACATCTTGTCAAATCTACACACTGGAAATTTCTAGCCATCACGTCATCACTACATCATGCCAAAACCCTAGCAAATAATACAAAATGACTACATTAAAATGTAGTTCACAACACTGCCCCTCCCTGGATTTTGAGCCCCTGAACAATTCTAATACATTAATGATATATTAAACTTAAAATTTGATAATTAGCAATAAAATCACACTTTACAGTTAACAATAATATTGATACATCTAACTACAATTATTGAATCAATACTTAAGTATAAAAAAGTGTAGTTTTAATCTTAAGTTTGATTAATGAAGTATTTTTTCTTCACTGATCTATATTGTCTAAATTGTCTTACCATCAGATTTTTTTGGTTTTCTTTTCCATGGTTTATGATATGAAGATGGGATGACTTCGTGTCCTTTACTATCACTTGCTGTCTTGTTCAGTGAAAGATTTCTCTCTAGGTAGATGTCAAAAGAATCCACTAGTGGTTCCAACCTTGAAGATACTGGAAGTGGTCCCAACAGCATTCTTGGGCTCTCCAGTAAGTCTACTTCTAGTGAAATCTTCACTGAAGTTAAGCAGTTGGTTGTTCTCCCATTGATGGTAGTTTTGTCTACCTATTCTTTTGAAATATGCTTTTACACTCAAGATTGGCTATCTTCATTACCCTGTGCACTCATCTTTGTTCTTACTTGAAAACCAACCTCTGGTGGTGTAACTGTGATATAGTACATCAGTGTTTCCTGGTCATACACCATAAAACTATTTGAAGATAGTTTAATCTCACATCCTTAATTCTGCATGAAGTCAGTTCCCAATATGCACTCTTCTTCAATGTCAATTACCCACACATCATGTTATGTATAGAATCTCCCCACAATGAAGGTGATTTCCAAGGGTACTTCTTGCTGGAACTTCACATCCATTTGCTTGTCACATTAATCCATTTTTTTTCTTCATGTTTTGAGAAAATTTCTCACCTTTCAGTAGTAGATCGAATTGAATAGTTGTAGCTCTAGAACCAGTGTTGATCAGATTACTGGAAGGCTTTACATCCTTAAACCTGTTGACTCATGAATTGATTTCTTTAAATAATACACTCCTTATTTCTTTCGGAGGAGGTGTAATATTCTCATCCTCAAAATATCTTGGTTTAATATCAGTAACTGTTTTATCAAAATGTCAGATGTAATGCCTTTCTTTTTCATACTTCTATCAGTTTTCTTCTAACATCATTTGGAAGCAGTTTCAAGCAATATGTCCTTTTAAGTGGCAATGGAAATCCTTCTGTCATGTGGTTTACTTCTTCCATTCTGAATTAACAGTTTATTGAATTTGTTGGGCTCTTATTTAACTTCATCAGATAGAGCTGATATTTCTATATTGTTTGATCTTATATCTTCATAATTCCTAGATGGTGAATTTAGTTGTTTACCTATGACTAACTGATTCAAGTTTGATTGTCAACTGGACAGTTTCCTTTAAAAATGTACATCTACTTTGCTTTAGCCTAATTTGTATGTCCTTGTCCACTTTGGCATTCATGAAATGGCCACACACCAACAAATCCATCATTTGATGTGGAACATTTGAATAAGATAACTAGGCAACCTTTACACATCTTCTGCAAGTTCAGTTACGATCTTGTTTTTCCTCCTTACCTTCCTCCTGAAGTTTTGTTTAGCTTCTTTCAGGTGTGTTTCTCCAAAACTGTTTGATAAGGCATCTACTAATGTATGAAAGTAGTAGTGGCTATCAGCTGGAAGATTAGTTAATGTTGCTAAGGCTGGTCTTTTTTAAATGGGCAGCAAATTAAAAGGCTTGTTTTTCACTACTCCATCCTTTCACCTTAGAAATTGATTTGAACTGAGCCTAATATGCCCCAACACTATTTTGCAGTCATAATCTGTTTCTTTCTCAACTGGATGATATTATTAAACTGGCCAACTAAATTCTGGAATTAGATAGTGATGTAAGTTGGAGTAGTCCAGGAAGACTCTGCAAGCTACGTACGTAGATCTGAAGATATATGTCTAGTAATGAGCATGGATATTTTAATATAATGTTCAAATAGTATTACTTATAATAATTAGAATGTATTGTTTCATCATTTGGGTACCCTACCTGTTAGCAATGTTTTTGGCCCAGCAGTATTAGTGACAGATGTAGGTTATATGGATTCCCTTTTTCTATATATCACAATTAATGGTGTTTAGGGTTGAAATTCTCTAGCAAACTCGGAGAAAGAGGTGTTTATTTTATCCGTTTCATTTATTTTGCTGTTATAATATTTCTGAACTTCATAGATGTCTTTTTTGAACTATTTCATATTTGTTATTGTAATTTTTTTGCATTTTATAGAATTTCCTGTCTTTTTTAACTCATCCCTTAATTTTCCTGTCTCTTTTAACCCATCCCTTAATTTCCTGTCTCTTTTAACTCCTCTCTTAATTATTCTTTAAATCGTGTCTCTTTTAACTTCTCTCTTGATTTCCTGTCTCTTTTAACTCATCTCTTGATTTCCCCTCTCTTTTAACTCCTCTCTTAATTTCCTGTCTTTTTTAACTTATCCCTTAATTTCCTGTCTCTTTTAACTCCTCTCTTAATTATTCTTTAAATCGTGTCTCTTTTAACTTCTCTTTTGATTTCCTGTCTCTCTTAACTCATCTCTTGATTTCCTCTCTCTTTTAACTCATCCCTTAATTTCCTCTCTCTTTTAACTCCTCTCTTAATTTCCTGTCTCTTTTAACTCATCCCTTAATTTCCTGTCTCTTTTAACTCATCTCTTAATTATTCTTTAAATCGTGTCTTTTTTAACTTCTCTCTTGATTTCCTGTCTCTTTTAACTCATTTCTTGATTTCCTCTCTCTTTTAACTCCTCTCTTAATTATTCTTTAAATTGTGTCTCTTTTAACTTCTCTCTTGATTTCCTGTCTCTTTTAACTCATCTCTTGATTTCCTCTCTCTTTTAACTCCTCTCTTAATTTCCTGTCTCTCTTTTTTTTCTTGGTCTTATTTTAATTTTTTGTAAATTTCTTCCTGATCTTCTTTAAATGCTCAGTCTCTTTATGCTTTTTCTTTCTACTATTTCATCACCTCCATTAAATTTTCAATCTTACTTCAAGTATATGTTGTCTTCTTAAAGTTTAAGCTATATTATATTTTATTTTAACCAAAATAATCCTTTCCTTACATCAGTGTTGTAATTTCTTCTGTTATTTGGGTGGTTCGTTTTTGATTATTCAGCAAAAATAATTCAAAGTTTATTTCACGTAATAAAAGGAAAGTGTTTTATTTTTTTAAACATAAGTTTTACAATCTACATAGTTTCACAGCTAACTCAGGAAATGTTTAGGCATCACACATTATCACTTTCATACCAAAACTCTCTACAGGAAAACAGTATAAGTTGTGGGAGTTAAAATATTAAGACATGATTTACAATAATATGAATTTTTTATATCTTAAAAGTAGTGTACTAATTAAAAAGTACTGTAAAAAAATCAGTTGTAATTTTGTAAATTCACCCAACAATGTAATTGGATTCGACCATCATTGATATGCATCTTCAGATGCCAAGAGGTGCAACAGTGAAAAGTTATCTTAGTGTTGACAGAATAATTTTTGTCATTAGCCAAGTACTTTTTAAATGTGCCTGAAAAATAAAACATTTAAATCTTAGCAAATTACTCAGAAATAATCAAGTAACTTTTTGTGTAGTTTGATGATGTATCCATTTTTGTTGCTGATCCAGTGAATTTGTTTAAATCAAAACAGCTTTGGGCTTAGTCCACAATTCAAATATTGTAACTGTGTCATACATTAGTTATTGTCTCAAAACATATTTTCAAGACATTCCTGTGACGAGGTCCACAACAACAAACTATTCATCGTACAACATTCTGTTTGTGTGATTACGTAATTATGGGAAATCCTGTATGTGTATATTTAATTGTATACACGTGCTCTTATGTTGTATGAAACATTTCTTTCAGTCTGAAGTACGTGTACTCTGATCCCCAAAATATTCATTGTACAACATTCTGTTTGTGTGATTACATAATTATGGGAAATCCTGTATGTGTATGTTTAATTGTATACATGTGCTCTTGTGTTGTATGAAACATTTCTTTCAGTCTGAAGTACGTGTACTCTGATCCCCAAAATATTCATTGTACAACATTCTGTTTGTGTGATTACATAATTATGGGAAATCCTGTATGTGTATGTTTAATTGTATACACGTGCTCTTATGTTGTATGAAACATTTCTTTCACTCTGAAGTAGGTGTACTCTGATCCCCAAAATATTTAGTTGGAAACAACTAGAAAACTTACATATGGAAGATTTTAAATCTTATGGTTGAACACAGTCAAGTTATACTGACTGTTATAGCCTAATTCATAATACCCATGAAATTATACTTGTTCTTCTGTACAATAAATTGGTTTCTGTTTTACTTGTCAACTATTGGTAGGTATTAAACTGCACATGTGCTTGGTAAAAATTATATATAACATAGGCTCATTCGTGGAAATATAAAAGTGGTATAATTTATAATCTTAAAGTAAACTTTGAAATAATGAATTTATGACTGGGTATTGATTCAAGAACAAATTTTTGATTGACAGTCAAATATTTGTTAGTAGAGCTGAACAACTAGCGGTATTTGCTAACAGATTATTTGATAACTACAGTTACCAGTTCCCATCTTTCTAGTCAGCAGTTCAAAAACTGCAACAGAAAACTTTGGCAGAGGGTGCTGTCAGTCAGTTGTCTTTCCTCTATTCACTAGTTTAAAATGAGAAACAGTGCCAGATAGTCTAAGTAGCTTTGCCATAACAAAGAGAGGGCGAGCCATTTTCTTGCAGTATTTTATAACATGAATGGTTGGGATGATTAACAATAATGCTAATCAGAAATGACAATTTCAATTAATTGATTATTTTCATCAAAATTGATTTAATGATATTTTTGATTAATCAATTATTGGAATAATCAAAAATAGTAATAATTGGAAAAATGAAATTAGGTTAATTAATTAGTTTACATGACACTTATCAATGTAATCACTGTTCAAGGGTGGTTGTTAAAATTGCCCAGTTGTATCTTTTAGATTTTGTGGTAAAAAACACCATCAATAAGCATTAAAAACATTGACTTTTATCTTTTGAAGATATTTTAATTTTCTTGGTAGGATTTTCTCAAGTATTTTTAATGATATTATTGTAAGCTTTATTTTCAATGTTTAAACTTAGATGTTAGCTAGAGGAAGCTGCTAATAATGATGATGTGAAGATAAAGGGACTTTGTGAAATATTGAGAAACAAAAAACAATTATAAATACAAATAAGCAGGAGCAGCTGAACTTACACACAGTGCTTTTGACTTGTTTGAGCAGTATTACCACAACACAAGGGATTCAAGTCAGACAACTATGTTTCACCTACTATACCAGCACTTGAGAGAGAAGACAGGTGAAGCAGTAATACAGAAACTGAAATTGGTCATGTTATGGATCAGTGAGGTGAAGAAAGATGTACAGGAAATATGTCTACTGGGAAACATCAAGAGTATTGTGTAAGTTCAAGCATTATGGCAGTAACTTAAACATAATGAAGATTGGTAGCAGGATGTGGAAGGAAAGATCAGGACTGGTCAACACAACCAACGTCTTAGAATGTATACATAAGCAGAAACTAACACTAATTATACCAGTAGATGACTCAGTCAGGAAAGTATTGACTACATGTGTAGAGATGAACATCTAGTATTTGAAGGCCAGCACCCAAAACCGAGCAATGAGGTTCATCCAGAGTAGAATTTGAAGCGTATGAGTTGTATATACTTGTCTGATTGACCAGTAACAGTAAAGATCATGTAGACTGAGGGAACAAGAAAATATGAAACAGGGATCACACTGATCATCTGCAGGAAAGATACTAGAAGTTTTTGGAGGAAGTAGAACCTTTATGAAGATCAGTGCCAAAATCTTCAAGTATAGCATGTGAATAGATATAAATGATCAACAAATGGCCCATACTAACTGAACAGTACTTGTGCTTAGCTTTAACTGCATCTTGATGATCAAGTAAAAACTTTAAAACAAATGTTGTTACAAAGTTCCCACTGTTATAAGTTGATAGAGGAGATTCAGTGTCTCTAAAACTCGTAACTTTTACCAAGAGTAATACTGATTTCAACTTCTAAAAAACACACACATCATCTTCCTATAGATTCAGTAGCAGTATGGTAACACATTTATAGAATGATCTTAATAAGCACACAGTTCCAATCAATCAATCGGCATCAAGGCTACACATAGTTAAGCTCCAAAACTTTCATGAGGGTTAGTATAGGAAGTATCAGTAATAATCTACTCCAGTAACATACACCATAAAAATAACTTGTATTCTGTTACAAAAATTTATTATATTTTTATTTATTTTATTTATTATTTATTGCAGTTCAAAAATCTTGAGGCTTAATGCATGTTTTTGTTCATTTAAACTAACAAGCATATTAGCATCACCCAACTATCATAGTCAACTGTTTTTGCTAGGGGCTGTAACAGAAAATATCAGGAACATGAAATCCAATGCCAGATTTGGGGTCAGCCAGCCTGAAAACCTGTCTTAGACACCCATGTAGATAAGGACACTAAGTCCCCCTGCCAAGTTTGGTTGTGCTAACTTTAGAACTGTGGAAGGAGTTAGCCGGATATATATATATATGTACACACACAAAGTTACAAATTAAACTAATATAGGGTTCTGGAATAACCTTGTTTTATTTTGATATTCATGTAGAGAAGCTTACACAGAACTAAATAGGAAATACAATTATTGTATTTCTTCAAACTCTATATTATCACTTTACCTACAATGTGTATGGACCACATATTATCGTAGATTAAATTAAAAGTACAAAAACACACGAAAATTATATATATATATATTGCAAACAGAAGTGTCTGTCTGAGCGTTCGTCTGTCTCCCGTGTGAAAAGCTGTGCACACAGGCAAAACTCAACATTCTCTTTTGAAAGGATAGGCATGAATAATGTTGATGCCAGAATTTATTTTGCAAGTAGGATATTCTACACTAAATTGTTAGGAATTAATCACATTATCATTCACCTTTCAAAATGTGATGTAACTTAAAGAATAAAAATGTAGATTTACCGTATGTTATTGTTAAGTGGCTCTTAGCATGACTCAAATGCTCGACAATTACTTTTTGTGGTGGGTAGTATAAGTAGCTCAGAGCTTTGGCTCTGAATGAAATCAAGATTGCAACACAATTAACGTTTTAAAGTCCACAAAGTAATTTAAATTAATAGATTATCTTAAACTTTTCCCATACTGAGGGCGTGTACATTTGCTTGTTTGAAATATATTAAAAGTAATATTAATATCTACATCCTTTTTTTTGTTGTTGTTGTTGTTGTTGTTCTATCTATCAGTTTCAAGATTTTTATGCTTACTTTTCTTTTTTTATGAGAAACACCTGATCGTGTATGTTTAACTTTTTTAATAGGTTTGTTTCCGATGTAGAAAACCAGGTCATATGATAGCACAATGTCCAATTTTAGAGAAAGACATGGAACAGGGAACATCCATCTGTTTCACTTGTGGCTCAACAGAACACATGATTAGTAGGTGTCCAGCAAGAAAATTGGGGAAAGGTATGTTGACAGATTTTGTTATTATTATTATTTAATTTTAATAGTAATATTTATCTTTAAAATGTTAGGAAAAGTGTTCCAGTTAATGAAAACATTAATTTCCTATAAAATTATACAAAACACTATGGTTGGGGTATGGCTTGGTAGTTAGTGTGCTGGACTGTGGATTAAAAGGTCATAGTTTTGAGCCATAATATGCTACTGGACATGTTTCACCTTTTTAGTTTTGGGGTGTTATAATAGTGACGGTCAATTCTGCTATTCAGTTTAGAGTCATCCAAAGTCAATGAGCACTGTTGACTGGCTGCTTTCTTTCTGGTCAGCAATTTTACATTAGGGATAGCTGTGTCTGAACCTCTGGGATTTCTGACCTGGTAATTTGGCTTAAGCTTTTTAATTTGTAATGAACAGTGTGGAAAATTTTAATGAAAAATCAAGCACTAAACTTGATGCTACCAACTTTCCAAAATACAGTAATGTTCTTGTTTAGCTGAACTGCAAATAAACTCTGTAATAGAGATGAGTCTTGGAATGTATGTTACATGATGAAGATCATTACATAAATTTGGAGAAACAAAAACAAGTTAGATTAATGGGGGAAACATAAGCTAATTCATGGGCCACCTGAATGACCCTCAAAAGCTCTCATTGGTCACAGGACCCCTATTTACTGGTAATAAGTGAAAAATGATACATTTTAACAAAAAGAGCTATATATATGCATACATGAAATATATTCAACAGACTTATTTATTCTCTGTCTCCCTACTGATGATTTCAAAGTATACTGTATACGAAAAATAATCAAAGTTTATGTTTTTAACTTCCTAGCATTAATACACTAAAACAGCCTGCTGGCATCACATGTAGGTAGCATTATCTTTTGCAAACCACTTTTTTATGATGCAGGAGAAGACATGGTAGTGACAATGTGTATGTGACCCATGGATTTTTCACAACTAATTTAGCTCATTCATAATCCTATTATTTTATGGTTTTGAATCCAACCAGCTTTCCATCAACACCTTATTTTTACAATATCAGAAGCAAGTCCCTACTTTCTCAAAGTTTAAATGCACAAGCCTAATGAATGATCTTACAGAAAACATTAAAGTAATAAGGGTGGCCTATTGGCTATGTATCATATATTTACTACAATATCACTGTGTGTTGTGATTTTATAGTTATATAGATGTTGCTATGTTTTAAGAAAAAAGATAACTTCCTTTTTAAGTCATAAGGTATTTATTTTGCCTATTTAAGACTTATTGTTTAGTTACTAAGGTGATGCTTCAACAACAGATTCCATTCTGTTTGGTTGGATAATATTTTTGATGTAATATTTATTCTCTTTCTATCACTGCTGTGCTACTGGAAGGAGTTATTTGTTTGAATATTTGTCCTTTAAATTGGGACCAAATCATGTCTTTCACGCTAATAGCAGGGTGTAATGTCAAGTGATAGCCCAGCTGGCTATTTTATTGCCAGTGTCACTTGGTGATAAAGGCAGAAGAAACAAGATTATAAGAATTAAAATGAATTGTGTCCCAGCAAACAGAGATACTTGAAGCCTATAGGATACTGTGGTACTTCTAATACAGTTATTTTACAGATAAAATTTTGTGTGTTTGTAGTTAAATTTTTATTATATGTGCTCTCTAATGCTCAATAAACATATTGTTTTATTCTTTGTAATGCTTTTCTGTTATTTCACAGCAAGTGATACAAAGCACAACAGCTTCAGAATAAAGAAGAGCAATCTGAGAGATTACATATCCTCACCCTGCTGCAAAGTTTTGGGTTTTTGTTTTCAGTGTGCACCTGAAATTCAGTCCAAATGCAATCACTTTTTACACAGTTATTATTAACAAACTGAGAATATGTCCTATATCTCCGTTATAAAAATGTTTCAAAGTGATCCAGATACTGGATCAGATTTGGGAAGGACTGTACTATGGAGACACCCTATCTCCTCTAAAAATTTCATGTAAAAAAGGGTATTATTTTTCAAGATACATGTAAGGGTATACATACAGACCCAAATGCAATACCCTCACCACCCCTTCTAGGGGCAAGGGTGATTATCAACTTAGTTCATCAGTAGCAAATACTGCATATTAAAGGTTAAAAATAGGTTTATAATGTCAATTGTGAACGTGCAGTCTGCTCTATATTAGTGTTATTTTCTCTAAATAAATGGTCCTCATTATATAACCACTTAATCATACCTAAAGTAACTGATCCTGACTACTGAACCACTTGAGTATATCTTGACTGCTGTTACATGGTGTTGAATTACTTGTGTATTTAGGTTACTGATTATGTATTGTTCATACATAACTGAATCTAATTTAGTTTTATTTTTGTTTTAACTACTGACTCTGAATTGTTTCCACCAAAAAATATTTTAATATTTTTTTTGTTTCATTGGAAGTTTTTGTTTGAAGATAGCTTTGATAAATGGAAATGTCTGTTAGCTGAGTTCTTGCACAGATCTTAAAATATGACGTGCAAGATCCCAAGCGAGACATAGTCCAACAATTGAACATGCATTTTTGAATGATAAAATCAAGAAAAACCAAAAACATTATCTTTAAGTAAAAGTTTGTTATCACAACCTGTGTTCAAAAATTAGAAAATGTCTTTCATTTTTCGACATGATTCACTTTTGCCGCTACAATTCAAACATTTTAAATAAAACTGACTACGTTGTAAAAATATGTGACATCTTAAATGATGAAACAAAATTCAAAAGGCTAGGCACTGTTTCACAAAAAAATAACACAACAAAAATTTAAAGATAGAACTGATTAAAAAAGGTTCCTTACCACATGATATTTATGACAGGATTAGGCCCTTAGGTTTACAATGTCCCCCGCATGTATGGCCTTCCTAAAACACACAAAAAGGATGTACCACTTTGTCCGATTTTGTCTATGATTGGCTCTGTACAACATGAATTAGCGAAGTGGCTATCAGGAATTTTAGAACAGGTGTTAACATATTTTTCGGAAAAACTGTATTGAAGACTCCTTTTCTTTTGCTACAACCATACAGAACCTTAGCCTTGACCTTTAAGAATCGTTTTTGTGCTCCTTCGACATCAGCAGCCTGTTTACTAATGTAACCCTGGAAGAAACCATCAAAATTTGTGCAGATAATTTGTATGATGGAAAAGTTTAGTGCCCTCCAATACCCAAGGACCTGTTTATTGAACTGATGAATACTGCAACACGTTCGGTGGAATTCAGCTTTAACGATATCATGTATCAACAGATTGACAGAGTCAATTGGTTTCCATGAAAAAGAACTATTTAACAAAGTTACCAGACCTGCTGTTTACTTCCACTATGTAGATGACACATTTGCCATCTTTAAAACTGAGCAGGAATGCGAGTATTTCTTACAAGACCTCAACTTGTTGCACTCGGATCTCAAACTTACTTTCGAAAAGGAACAACATAACTCTTTACCGTTCCTAGATGTTTTAGTTGAAAATAGATGATTTCATTTTCCCACCAGTATATACAGAACATTTATCTTTACAGGACAATACACACAATGGGATACTTTCAGTCCCAAAATTTGCAAAACAAACCTCATTGCTATTTCAGTCCATTGTGCTCTAGTTATCTGTTCAAAATCTAAACTGATTTTGAATTGAAGACAATTAAAACTATTTTACTAGAAAATGTGTATCCGGAAAATGTCATCAAATTACTTCAAGGAAAATTGAGAGCTTCTCAACTGATCCAAAATTTGGTCCTAACAAGTGTCCTGTTTACCTAAAACTACCATGGATTGGCAACATTTCAACAAAATTTTAAAAACAATTGAAAACAGCCATTACTAAATGTTTTCCTGCAGTGAGCCCCTACTGTGCTTAATCCACACATAAGTTGTTGCCTGCATCTCACAAAGATGCGATACCTACCACACAAAAAAAGTATGGTTATTTATGAACTATTGTGCCACTGCAAATGTTTGTACATAGGTCACACTTCACAAAGATTGCAGGATAGAATTAAACAACATGTATCCACATCCATAAGAACTAAGAGTGTGAAAGTAAAGAATTTACCATGTCGCTCCTGTATAATAATTCCTATACAATATACACATCGTTCAGTACATCTGTGACATTTCCTGATTGCTAAAGGACATGCCAATCAGTGATTGCTTTACCAGCTTACCTTGATCTGACTCATAAGCTGTACTATTTCCTATAGGTCATTTTCCAGATGGTTCTGCTATGATTAGTGTCTGGCGAAAAGCCTTAGCAGATATTTCTTTTGCAACATCTCAACCAACAATTGGTCCAATTATCAATGCTATTTTCAAGTTTTGAACAACCGGACTTTCAAGATCTCCTTAGCTATATTAGCCGATGTTTCCATTTATGAATGTTATATTTTAATATCTGTGCAAGAACTCAGCTAACAAATGTTTTTGTATATCAAAGCTATCTTTAAGTTTTCTACAACGAAAAACCTTTTCAAGTTTTTGTTTGTTGACTTCCTAACTTTTTCAAAATATAGGGCAGCTTTTGATATAGTTTTGTGTTCATAGTTTATTTAATTGTAATAATAAAAACTGGATCAACGTACATAATAAGGACCTAGTATATAATATCTTAAAATCATTATTCAAAAATGCCCAAAATAATTTCTTAAATTTTCTTTTCATAAAAGAAAACATACATTAAATGTATGTTTTATTAAAATTGTTGTATAAATTAGAATAACTATTGATAAAGAGTGAATGAAATGAAATAAGTTTTAACACAATTCAGTCACATTTATATGGTAAATATCGGTACATAATTTTTATTGTTGCTTTTTAAATTATGAATATGAAAAAGGTATGATAAAATTATCATTATGTTTTTTTAAGAAGATTTAAAACATGTTATTTATTTCCATAGAAAGTTTTCCATTTGCTAAGTGCTTTATTTGTGGTGAACAAGGGCATTTAAGCCGACAATGCAGCAAGAATCCCAATGGTCTTTATCCTAAAGGTAGGACTAAAATTACAGTCTTTATAATTGTTATGTAGTATCCCATGTTTTGAGATCCTGAACATATCAGTGTTGTAGTTTGTTATTCTTTGGGATTCATGTGCTGTTGGTAACTGAATACATTTTAAAAATTAAGCTTTTATAAAACACTAGCTGAAGATCTCCATTAAAAAAGGAAAAATTGTGTAAAGGACAATGTCAGATAATGTTCCCCCTTCCTTCTTTCTTTTGTTATTAAATACCTAATGACCTCATTAGATGCTAATTTCATACCCTTCTTTGTGGAAGGTAATAACTAGCTCATGTAACTGATTAAGTACTTGTATCTTTAAATTCAAAGCCAAAAGTCTATTACAAAGTAGAAATTTGTGCTACTCCAAAGTTTTTTTTTTTATCCCTCTTCTTGGGCAAACGTCTTAAAACAAGGTAGCCCATGTACACTATCCAACAGTTTCCAGTCTTACAAAAAATTACAATAATCAAACCAGACAACTCTGGATGATGGTTATTAACACGCACACACACCTAATGGATCATCTTTATAGTAAGATTATCATTTTATTTGCTGGTATCAAACACTTCTAGTTGTTTATGAGAAAAAGAACTCAGAAAAATTAAAGTAGTTAATTTTGTAAAATATATAAACTGTGATATTGCTGCTTTGTGATAAACAGATCTGGTCAAGTAGCTGAGTTTTTTGTTTTAATGTAGAATATTAATAATTAGTTTGATAACTGCCCTTTTGGAAAGGTAAAAGTCTGAAATATTCTATATTCAGTGAATCATGATATGGTCTACTAACTCAAGAGTCTGTCACTGAACAAACTTTTAGCTTTTAAAATTAATAAATATAATGTGGCGCCATCTCTTGAATGACACCACAAACAAACATTCATAAAAAAACTCACAATTTGGGTATTCAAACAATTAGAAAAATAACTACAGTATGTGCAACAACTATTTCTTTATTGCAGAACACAATTTTAGATAAAAGTACTCTTTTTTTCTTTTTTACAACAAGAATACATCTTTCACTAGGGCTGTACATCAGGGTTTAATTATATCCTTAAATTTAGTGCTAAAAATGGAATTCGTAAAAAATGCTGTTATTTTTTCAGTAAAGCACACCACTTTTAATATATAAAAATATTGAAGTTTATATCAACACAATCTGAACACTGTTCCTATGCTTTACTTTCCAGAAAAATCCTTTTTTTAGAAAATGTTCACTTTTTCTAATTTTTTTTAATGAGGTATGAATACTACAAATAGTAATTATTAGCACAAATACCCACCTATAGGGAGGCATTTCTGCTAGTAATTATAATACTTGTTGTTGTTGTAAGGTTGTTATTGTTTATTTGAAATGTGCAATTAAGTTAAATTACCTAATTTCTATGTACATAAAAAAAAAAAGTGATACTTTTCTTAGTTATACACATTGCGATTTAAAAACATTATTTTTAGTACTTCTAGTAATAGTGATGGTAAATAAACTTGTATTATCTTAATGATTATAGCATAGACATCAGACTGACCTCTAATTACACAGGCCTGCAAATTTAAACTTCATAAGTTGTTTTTGTTTTAATGACAGTTTTCAATAATTCAGCTACATAGAAAAAATTAATCATATTTTTGAAATCTATCATGTAAGGATTTTTTTTAGAAATTGGGAAGAAAAAAAAACTTAGTTCAAATTATTATTATGTTTGTTAACAAAAATACAAACAAACTGAAAAAAAGAGAAAAAGGTTGATGTCAAACTAATATGCATCCTCATTACTCCTGATTTTTTGTGTGAAACTATGTTTTGTGTCCTTTCTTTTATGTACTGCGTTATGACGTTTTGTGAAAAAATCTGTACGTAATGGAGTAAAAAAGGATATCATTTTCGGATTCAGCGTACAGGAATCACTGTAGAACATGTAAAAATGTTAATAAGTCATAGTGATAAATACTAACTACTAGTAAAACTCAAAATTATAATGCAAGAATCATGGATATTTATCAGTTGTATACATCTCATTACTGTTTGTGTTAAGTTAAAATATTTTGATTTACTTCAGGTGGTAACTGTAAGATGTGTGGATCAGTAGAACATTTAAAAAAGGATTGCCCCGAGCTGCAGCCACAAGAAGGTAACATTTTCAACCACAAATATTGAGTATTGATTTGTTTAGATCAAAAGTTCATCTGTTGAGGTACTGCAAGTTACATATAATTTTCTTTAGATTTTTATCAATATAATGCTAATAAGATGTGTTGTAGCATTTTGTCTGTGTTTAATGTAACAACCCAAGAATTTTTAAATTTAGTAAAGCTTATTTACTAAAACAAGAAAAAAATAAAAGTAAGCATTAGGTGATGCATGCCTTATCTTTAATATAATTTACCAACTTAGATGTAATTTTCTGATAAGGACAATTTTAAATTTACAGGATCAGTCTTATTCTTGGTACGAGAGAATGTTCTTCTATTAATGCTGTAATTTAAAAATTAGAAAACTACAGACAGATGAATAGACTGGTTTTCACAATTTTCAGGTGACACTAAAATAATATGGTCCACTGGCTTAAGTATTCATTCTTTCTTCTCTTCAATCAGAAACAACATGTATCACAGCAGAGATGTTGGATACCACCCAAAGTGTTGATGCTGAGCCCATGAAAGAATTTTCACACCAAGGAATTATGAAATCTGATCCAAAAGTGGTGAAGTTCTTATAAGGTAGTACTGTGTAAATTATGAGCTACAGAAATAGTTTTATGTACACCCATATTTCAAAGTACTTAGCATCATTTCTCATAAATGTGTAAAAACAGAGCCATGAGTTGGTTTTTTTTTGGGGGGGGGTTCATCTTATAAAAAAAATTGGAAAGTAATTCTACATAATACTCTTCATTGTTTTTTTTATTTTATGTTCAACATGTTTTTTTTGCAAAGTGTAAAGAGAAGAAGGAAAATGAATTTCTCACTGTAAATATATTTTGAAGCCATTAAAAAGAAATGCAGACACAATTATAAGTGCAAGAATATTTAATTCTCAGCAGCAATAACCTCTAATTAGATAAAGCTGAAGATGATTGTCCAATATTCCATATATATATATATATATATATATGATCTATGACACTGATCAGTAATTATATTTACATTTTATGATATGCTTTTAATAGACATTTCTGGCAAAGATAGAACAGTAAGTACAAGTTAGGCAAAAAGAGTAATCATAACACCACGCATTAGTGTTAAAGTCATTAACAAGAAAATTATCTAAATATACAATAAAACCCTAAATACAACTTCATTTTTTATTTACATTTAAAACAATTTTTTTCTACTCGTACAACAAATTTCACAACTACAGCATCTTAGAGCTAAAATTAGCATTGAAAAAGAATAAGGCAAGTGATGACCTGCACAGAAAGAGTGAAACTAAATCCTTGATAAGGTATACACTACTAAGTACAAAAATGTTCGAATTGAAACAAGCTATTTACCCTGCTTTCTTACATAGCCTTTGTTAATCATTTATTAGTAAACTTGAACAGTACTGATAGTTAAGGTATGTTATTATAATAACTCTTTATAGACCCAAGAATGTAGTAGCAATATTGGGAACATGGTGCTAAACTAGTTGTTTTACAGAAGTGAGATTGTGCAGTTATTAGCTGCCTTGAGTTTAAATCTTAACATCAGGATAGTTTGATGATGTATACTTTTATTTATTTATTAGTGAAAGTTTTTTCATTGGATACTTGCATTTGTGGTCTTTAGTACCAAAAAACTATACAACACTAGATTTGCAGGAGACTATGTATTTAATTGGTTACTACAAAGTAGCCATAAATAATATGTATCCACTTGAATGGTGAGTAACGCAGCATGTTTAAAAAGGTAACTTCTCTTTAAATCTGTAGCTACCAAAAAAATATTTTTTTCTCTAAAGACGTTTTCTCACTTGTAAATCACTGTTTTTGATGATAATGAGATTCATTAGCAAAATATTCTCAAAAAAATTCAGACATTTTTTTACTGCTTTCTTTGTATTAAGAAAATAGCACTGTAGCTCTTAAGCCTACTTTATGGCAATTACTTTTAATGGCTTGTATTTTAGGAAACATGTAAACATTTATTTGATTGTTTTATTTTCTGTACAGGCATTCTACAATAAGGTGAACACAATACTTTGCAAAAGCTTATTACAGTTAGTAATATGTAAAATGGTGTGCTTGGAAGCCTGTGCTTTTTATACTTAAATTTTCTTTCCTTAGCCAAGACTTTTTTTTTTTTGGCAACTCAACAAGATAAATATCTGATGACTTTACAAAACAACTTCTGACTACTATTTCCTGTCAGTTCTTAGTGTTCTTTGTAAAACAACCACATTTGACTCTAGTTGCTCCTCAACTGTCTATCCAAATGCAATTTTGAATGTGAAGAATTCTCCAACTCAGCGAACTGATTTTGTTCTAGGGATTGATGTTCGCAGGAGAAGAGCACTCTCTGCAGAGATGATCGGAAGGCCATTGTCACGATGATAATTGATCAGGTGACTAACACTCTCAAAGGTCCGGTCCTTCGTTCTAACCTATAAATGGAGATTAAAACCATGAATACATGTTTTTAAGTGCACGTTTATACATATCTTGCCAAAAAAAAGGTCTTTTTAAAGCATTTGAATTCCTCACCCCAAAAAATTCTTATTTAAAGGTAAACTACAGAGAAATGCTTGAAATTACAAAACAATATATATATTTGATGCTGCTGGAAATCGGTTACTCTTTATTTTAGAAATAAACTAATCAACAAAGATGATGATGATGAGATAACACTCATCCTTTGAGACTTTTAGTTTTTCAAGAAAAAAATCTTGGAACAGCACTTTTCATGTAATACAACACAAATTGCAAAATAAGTTGCTTTTAAATGCATGAGATGATTTAGTCATCAAGCTTTTATTCCCAATGAACAAACAGTTGTATATTATTATACTTACTACTCCTTCCGGATCCACAAGCAGTAAATGTTTACGCTGCCCACTTCGCATGCCTGTTAATACATATTGTCCTGGTGACCCTTGGGACTCGCGCACTAGAAAGTCTCCATCATGTACCACTAGAGCTTCACTGTCCTTGCGACTGATTGGTCCATGAAACCACTCTTCCTGTTGGAGAGCTGCTTTCAGACTGGCAGGTGACACAGTTTTCGGTACTGATTGGACAGTGCTTTTGTTATAAGGTAACGGTCCATGACGAGGTGGTGGTGGCGGAAGAGGATATTGATTTGATGGAAGGTTACTGTCAAATGGTTCTGTTAAAAATATAATTTGTTATCAGTGTAAATGTAGAATAATATAATTGTATTTAATAAATTGAACAGTATAAGCCATGCATGTAAACTATATTACTAAGTTTACACTCAACAGTGTTTATGTATGTTCTTCATCTTTAAAAAAATTCGTGATTTTTCTCCACCTGTGTAATACTTACGCATATCGAAAGGATCCCTAGAAACAGGAGGTTCTCGAGGAGGCAGCAGAGATGGAGTTGGGGAATGGTTACTTGAAGCAGGTGGTATGTCACTTCCAACTTTATTTCCCATACATAATGTGGTGTTGACATATTCTGGTGGAAAATGCAAGTTAATTTCTTGTATGTGCTTTAAACTTTAATAGATACATGGTACTTAGGGTGACAAATTCTAAGTACAACATCGATCATGAAAAATATTAGTATTAATATATCATTAATTTATTTCTTAATATCATATAATGGTCTCAATGAGAAAAACTTTAAATAAAAATTATACCTTTTATAAATTAATGTCATTCTTAAGAAACTTTAACTTGTCACCAACATACACATTAATTTCATTGTAAATCAATCTCTGAAAACTTTTGTGCACTGTTTTCGCTAGTAAAACTGAGAACAATATAAATCATTCATACCTGGTTCAGGTCTTTTTGGAAGAACAGCTACACTGCCTTCAGGACCAAAGTCTATCAAATTATCTGAGGTTGTGTTCTCTTTCTCTTCTGTGACGGCTGAAGATTTAGGAGCAGATGATGGTGTTGGTTCTTTTATTGCTGCATACTGTAATGGCTGTAATATGTAATACTTCTGGATTAATTTTCTTCATCAAAATAAAAGGAAGTTTATTTTTATTTCAGAAAGTTGCAATATTTAACTTTTCCACAACTACGTAATATGATATTAGTTTCTCTAAATAATCTTCTATACACTTAAAAATAATAGGAAGTCAGGTTTTAATGAATTTATTTTACTCTTAACATGAATTATGTTCAGGAAACAAAACCTTATATATTAAAAGTACTGAACTTCAGTAGTTCTGAAAAACAGTTCATCAATATTGTCAGTCCTAAGTTATAAAATGAAGATAAAAAAACCTCATTATACCAATTACAAATGTAACTTTAATTTTTCATTTTCCAATCTCTCTCTCTTTTAATAATTAATACTACTCAAAAAGAAGAAGCAAACCATATGAAAAGTGCATTGCATATATCCCTATAGATAAACAGGCTCAGCTCCATACATATAATAACAGCTAGGTACGGGCAATGTGCCCAGACTGTATAAATGTGGAGAACTCCAAAAGCTTGTTAGTAATTTGCATTTACTAACTACGTGAAACATTATACTTACGAGTTACATTTGTTCTGCTTGTTTAAAATCTAAATTATCAGTCTTATTTTATCTCCTAATATTACTACTAACAAGACCACACACGGCCAAATTTATTCTATTTCACTTACTGCCATCGCTCCATTCTGTGTAGCGGTATGATAATCAGGTAATGGAGGTACAGGTGGTGGTCCATCTGGTGGGATCTTTCCTGGCAGGTCATTATAGTACTCTGGGTCATCAGTGCTAGCCGATCTGCTACCATTGATTACAGAATTCTCCATTCGTTGGCTATGAAATAAAGTACTTTATCAGTATCAGGTTACTGACAATCTCGTTTCATGCTAGCGATGTTGAACAACTGCTATTATGGAACAGTTTTACTTAAAATACGTACTTTAAACAAAATCTGAGTACTAATGTGTTAGCAGAAATTTAAACTTCCAATGAGCATTTTTATCATAAAATTAATGATCATATTTGGTGAGTCATTGACACTAAAAAGATCACTGTATAGTTTTCTTCCCTCACTATAATATTTGGAAATATATTTCTCTCAAAAGTTTCCTAGTTAAAAGAAAAAACTATTCAATATATTACATTACACCATAATATCCCATATATAAAAGGCTGGACTGTAGAAACAAGAGAAAGCATGAATGATAACATTTCAGTATGCATGACTGGTGAACTAAGAGAACCAGTCACGTAGAAAGCACTACTGACAAAAGTTCGCTACACATTACTTGGAAACTAGGAGAATCACTCTGTAAAAAAAGCATGATTTCCAGTATTTCATTCTTTACTACTGGTAACCAAACAAAATTACATGTGTAACAAAAAGCAATATTTTATACTGCACATGACTAGTAAATTAAAAAAGCCATTCGGATAGAAAAGAAAAATTAAGAGTGAAAACATCACAAGCTGTAGACTTGTTTCATTGTAGACTTGTACAGAAGTAAAGTGACAAGCAATGAAGGCAGAATTGGCCTACTATTTCCAATATTATGGGTGCAAAACATAAACAAAATAATTTAGGTTTAGTACTAGAATTTGTGTACATTTGCTTTAAAATCCAATCTATGATCACTTTATTTTTTCTTTGATAGAAAATAACAATTATTATTTCTTATTTTAAGCATGAATTACTATCAATTTGCTTATACTTTAAAAAATTTAATTACTTCTACTTCTTTAACCCACTTTATTCTCCTGAAGAACAACAGTGAACTATTCAAAAGTGCTCAAGTTTTAGGTCTTGTTTGAAAACCATTACAACTTTTGTATATGATCCTGTGTGCTAACTTCTTAACCAGAGTACACATAAAAGTTAGGCTGAGAACATACTGTGTAAACCTGTATGGCTAATAGTTTTACAATACCACAATGAGCTTAAAATGTTTTGTATTAAAATGACAAAATAAAGGCCTAAATCAGGAAATTGTAAGTTCAAAGATGTAATATGAAGATTACCCGTCTTGAATATTGATGCTACGGGGAGCTCTACGGAGAAATTCCTTAAATCTAAGTTCAAAAGCTTGACCAATAGTAGTGATAACTTCTTGTGCTAAACCTCCACCACACTCAAGAACAAAGCATGCCCGGCCATACCGCTGGTCTTTTGCCACATATGCTATGAAATCTAATGTGTCCTACAGGGGGAAAAGAAAATAAATCAGAATATTACATAGATTTATAAAATCACTATTAAAATTATGTACATCTCAACAATCTGAGGAATATAAACAAAATGGTGCAAAACAGTGTACAGTACCAGTGTTATTATTCTTAAATTTGTTTAATGCAAACTGGAGTTTATTATGAGACATTTCTATAAATGTAAATAAAATCACTTTGACATTTAACCCTCAGTTAGATTTCTTGTATCTATTGTGTTTGTATACTTACAGCATCTCCTCCTGAAGCAAATGATATATTTGGCATTTCATGATTTACCACAACCTAGAAAAAAAAAACAAAAGTACTTTAGTATCTTGTTTAACGAAATTCTAAATTTTAAATTTCTTTTTCAACTTTAAAAGTAATAAAAAAACTGCTCATTCAGGTGGTTTCTATTTTTTGATTGAATAAACAAAAGTACATTTGATAAAATGGCAATACTAAGCCTAACTCCTATCTTTCCACCACCTACGTTTGTAAACAAAATCACACCTTTTGAATATTAATAAAAGTAATAATCGTTTAAAGCACAATTACTGATTATCACAAAAACAAAGATGTTTTGCTATATGTTTCACATACATTTGCTTGGGCCATCATCAGGCCAGTTAATTTTGAATTCTTTGCAGAAACTTCACAAAAGCTACATTATCTTCACAGGAGTGAAAAAGAATATTTTTAAAATTTTCATGTCACTTAAAAGCTTTGCTTTATAATTTTCTAAAAAAAATCTTAAAAGTCAAGAAACAAACCAGTAAACATGATTAAGGACAGTCAGAGAGAAAAAAATAACTAAGTTAGATAAATTCTAGTTTTTATTCAGGCTATTTACCTCTCCTGATTCCATAACGATCAAACTTAGGTAGGAACTGGTGATCGTCAAGTTGACATTAGAGCCAGCAAAATCCATGTTTGGTTTTTCTGCTAACATTCGGCTAATTCTTTTATCCACCTGGTGTAAGTAGCAAGTATTTTTTATTATTTAACCACTGTAAAGAAGTTAAATTTACTACATTTTCATATCAGATACTTATCAAAAAAGATGAAGACCGTTGTTTACAAAAAAAAACAACATTATTTATAGCTTTTAACAAATCAGTGACTTGTAAGAAATTTTCATGCTTTATTAAAAAAAAAAAGACTGCTAATTATAAACACTAGTGAAAAGGTCTAAAAAACAACAACAAAATATAAAGCTACCACAGATCTGTCTCAAACAAAGAATAAGAATATCTACTCTAATTAGATATATTGCTATACCTACCACTTAAAAAAAATCTAAAAATAACAAACCAAACTCAAGAAGTTTCTTCATATACCTTCACAAAAAATAAATGATGTTAGTTTTAACACTTTTGCCACAGAGATTAAGTATTCTGTCAAGTACTATTCGGAATAATAATAATTCAAAAATTAAAGATGACAGCAATTAATATAAAACATCCAATGAAATTTTGTTTATCATTTGTATCGTCTTTCCTTTTTTTTTTGATCAAACACTAATTTAAAATTATTTTAAAACACTTTAAAACAATGTTGTTAAATGTATAATAATCATTAACCTAAGAATAAGAATATTAAAATTATTATGAAAAGGCTTACTTTTCGTTTTTTGTCAACTGTCTTCAGACCTGCAGCTTCACAAACTCGGTTAATACATTCCCTAAAACAAGACAAAACGAAAAATAGTCATGAGACATTATTTTACTTAGATAATGAAAAAAAAAAAAGATTTGTTATTATTGAAATATTTATATTCTAAACATCATAAAAAAGTAGCTATTATTCATTCATATAAAATTTAGCAAAGTTACGTAGTACATTATAAAAGAAGCCTGTTAAAAATGTGATAAGTTAAGACTAGAGTAACCCAATTAAAATGACTGAATTAATTAACTGTTCCACTTCAAAATTTCTAGTAAGTTCACGCTATTAAATTATATTCAAAACATTCATTTGCAACAGTTTATGCTAATAGCAGTATTCAGAAATATTTTTGTAAGTTATTTTTTATTAATAAATTAACTATTCAAAATAACAAATGTAAAACTTCACCAAAATTTACTTATCCACAATATGATAGCTAGACAAAACTACAACATAGCAGTTTTTTTTTTCTCAGCATAATACTGTCACAGTATTCGGAGACATTACTGGTTCTTCAGTAGATTCAAATCCTTCAGGTGTTTGAATAACGTTATTAATTTTACACTGTAACTACTTGCATGCTCTTGTAACAGAAATTATCAGCATTTTAAAGTTTGATTATTAATCTCTAGATTTGGAAAAATAAGGAAGTTTTTTATGTAATACAAATTATCTGAATTTATTGTACACGTAAGATTTGCCGCTAAGTTAAACACACTGTACTCACCTTAAATTAAAATCATATAACAACAGTAATTAAGTACAAATAGAATATACTTAGGAAAATCTAGTTCTCACACAAACAGCATTCAACCACAGTTATTTCATTTGTGTTCCAAGAAAAATATTAAGCAGTGTTTGCATTTTGATTGGACAGAAATGTTATAGTAATAAAAAAAACACGAGGTGGCTTACTTGGCTATTTGAGACCTGGTATCAAAGTCTAAGCTTTTCATGGATGTGTTTACCTCCAGGCAGCCAACATACTGAAAAAAAACAATAAACATTATGTGGACTTTACTGTTTATCAATGTTTTATAACATCTACATATTCAAAATGCAATTCAAGAACAACTTGGCATTCCAGTGTTGGAATTAAATTTCAGTCTTCAAAGAACCACACACACAGTGTAGAAGACACAAAAGAATGATTTAAAAATTGTAACCCCACAAAAATCACAAACCAAGAAATAATGTTTGACAACTTAACAACTATTAATTTTGTTTCAAACCTGGCTTTTCAGTCTATTAATGAACCAATTTAGCTTACCCATAAATCATAAACACATACAATGAAAAAAACAAACAAAAAAAGCATAAGTTTCCAGTCTATTTATGAACCAATTCAGCTTTCCCATACATTTTAAACAGATACAAAGAAAAAACAAAAAGCATAACTTTCCAGTCTCGCATATAATTCTACAAACAATTAAGCATGCACATGTACCAGGTTACTTAAGAAATATATCAACTTTCCAATCTACACTATCCTACCAAAAGTCATGGGACATCAGTAGTTATGAATAAGACATCTTTATTCCAAGAAATTATTAGTGTGTTGACTTGCCTTTGACCTTAATGACTGCTTCAATGCATTGTGGAAGACTGTCTACTAATTTCTGGTAGAAAGCTGGTGGTATTGTGCTCCACTCCTCCTTTAAAGCATTAGTAAGCTCCATTACTGAAGAGGGCCTTCTTGGCCTTGCCCTAATTCTGCATTCCAGTTCATCCCAAAGATGTTCTATGGGTTGAAGTCGGAGCTCTGTGCTGCCAACTGCAGAGTTCCGACGTTATTCTCTTCAAATCACGTGTTCACAATCCTTGCTTCATGACACCGAGCGTTATCATGTTGGAAGATGTAAGGGCGGATACCATAAAATTGCCACAATGTAAGACTCAGCATTCATGGATCCATGCAATGCGATCAGTGGGCCTAGTCCATACACAGGAAGCACCCTCAGACCATGATACTGCCACCTCCAAACTTCACTGTTGAGACAACACAGGTAATAAGAGTTCTCCAGGCATCCTCCATATCCAAACACGTCCATCAGACTGGGAGAAAGTGTAGCATAACTAGTCACTCTACTGGACCAATTTCCATTGATCCACGGTCCAGGTTCGGTGTGCCTTGCTCCATGCCAATCGATGGTCAAACAGTTTTTCAGATAATATTTTAGTGATAAAAAGATTCACACATACACTATCCTACCAAAAGTCATGGGACACACCTCTGATTGCAGGAAAATGGATGTGGTGATGAAATATGCAAATAGTTTAGCCTGTAAGGGTGATCAGTGGTTTGCTCAGAAGTCATTTCAAACTTGTATGCAGAACGATAAGTATTCGGAAAGAGCTAACAATATGTCAAAGGGGAAGGATAGTTGGATGTCATTTGGAGAAAATGTCTTTACATGCTATTGCGCTACAATTAAACATGCCCAGGTCGACAATTGGTATGTGCTGAAGAAATGGAAGTCCGCAGGTGACAATGAGCCCAAGAAACGACCAGGCTGGCATAAAATACTGACTGACAGGAGTCAATGCACCTTGAGAAGGCTGGTTACCTCAATTTGACATCAGACTCTATAGAATCTGTTTGGAGATGAGAGCAGCCACAGGTAATCCTATAAGTGTTTCCATAACATGCCATGAATTTTCGTGGAAGAGCTGCAGCCCATAAGCCATTGATAACAAAAACAAATGCATCTGGGTTAAGTGTGTGCTCCTTTTTTGTTGTTCTTACCATATGTCGGGCATGTTTTCAATGTTATGATATGGTAACAAATAAATGGTGTGTGTGTGTGTTACTGATGAAGAGGTACACATTAGTGGAGAAAATGTTTTTTTTATCTTTTCATTAGCAATAAGGTATTCGTTTAATGTCTTCTTGAAAATGTTACTTCTTGTTACTTTTACTTTGCAGTTTATATACTGATTTGACAGAATACAAAAAAATTCAAGTAATCTCACGAAACCCAAAAACACAGGAGGTATAGTGTACTTGTAAATAAAATTCTGGTTAACCAACATAATCTTCCCATAACCAGACACACAATCCTTTCTTTAGAAAAAAAAAAGAGTGCCATAGTGAAAGATGTGTGGAGTATGGAAAATGATAATGAAAAACAAAGAAACATGGCTTTCCAATCTGAGCCATAAATGCATATAACATGTACACTTCTATCAAATTTGCACTGCATGTGAAATGAGAATACTCTCCATACCTTCCTGGTTATTTTGACTTCACTGTAGGCAGTAATGTATATATATATAAGCTACTATCAAGTACCAGAGAAGCCCTTTTCTGATACATGCTATACAGGTGCACATAATTCAATCAATATGAGTGTAACTACCACATGCCTGAATGCCTGACCTTGAAATTAGATAACAAGCATATGCTCAAGGTCACCTGTTTCACTCAAAGGGATCTCAAGGTCAGCTGTTGAAACTTACTATTAACCTGACATTAGTGCCTCAGCATGTTTTACCTTTCACTACTGGTATATAACTTTTAAACTCTGAATATTTATTACTAAGTGATGTTTAAATACCTCGCGAGTATAATCCTATGCTCGGGGGGAATGTTCCTGTAAAAGGACTTAATTTTTTTTACTTGTAGCTAGACAGAAGATCTCATTACGACACCTTCGTAGAATAGTTTGCATTGGTAAAGATTTCAGTTTCCAGAATCGAATAATACAGAGAAAAAAAAATGCAATAGATAACTTACATTTCACTAAAAACATCATTTGTTTCAATAATACTAAACCAAACAAAATGAGTACGTGTAAATGTAGCTTGACATATTTCAGTAACAACGGATCAAAAACAAAAATTAATGTGAATCCATTTAAAACTCAGTACAAAAGCTTCCTGCTGAAACTGGCTGGCAAGGGCGAAGGACTTTTTCATTTTAGCTTCGCCACACCTCCGAGCCTGCCAGCTGAAGAAGTCAACGGCACCTACTGTGACACGTAGGCAAGGCATACTTTACGACTTCCGCTCGCCCTTTAGCGGCTACAAGGCACGTGCTTAGAGCACATAGGTCAGGGACAGAATTAGACACACACAAGTACATACATAGATAATTCTAGAAAACACTTTCTTCAGACCCACAGCTCAGCAACAGGAACAGTGTAAAGCCGTCTTCGTTACACTACAAAAACGCTGATCAATGGGCGAATACTTACTGATTCCAAAAACAACAAGATACTTGGTAGGCCTTGTTTCTAAAATCTAACTTCTACCGTGACTTCATATATATATTTTCAGTTCCTGTTTATTACACTGTAGAAAACATCTTATAACAGACATCCAAGGGAAACTTAACTTGCCATCATCAGGTATTTTACTGCATATCATCCATCTGCGTTTAGATAATTTTGCTTCACAACTTCCAACGTTTACTATATTTCGTCCATAATCATCCTTTAATCTTCCTTGTATGAACTCCACAGTTTGCTTATAGGAGATGAAAAGTCTTGAGTTTTCTTCAATTACCTTTACTTGTATTTCCATATATTTTTATTTCAGTCCTTTTTTATCGGGGGTGTAGCTAAATCGATTGAGCAACTGGGGTCCCAAAAATATTTACTGTGTATATTACACGTCACACATAAAAGAGAAATTTAAGAGGTTTTCTGGTGCGAATTCACCATATGATCATCTTGTCTAATACACGACTCCCCCATATACTACTAACTGTATACTAGATCTATACAGATTTACTTGTTAGTCACAAACTATTTAAAATCAGCACTCTCTGCTTTATAGTTATAGTTTCAAAGACAAGAAACTTCTATGTCCATCTCAACAAAAAAGTGACAGGGTGGAAAAATGAAAAAAATGTCACTTGTGAGACGGCATCAAATTGATGCTTTGTTTTATCCACATGCTGTTTGTATCATTTCAATAACTCAGGTTTTTGAAAAAAATCAACTAGAGAAAATACATGTTGAATCGCAAAGTTTTGTATAACGTATGGCAATTTACTACATTAGAAGCACCTGATCAAAATGTAGTATCCATGCTCTGATATACATATAACCCTTACAAATCATAGTTTGATATAAAAAATTGCAAGGCTGAAACTGAATTCATAAATGTGGACTTCTTCCAAGCACAGCAGTAGGCATGGAATTGAAAATCTATTATACGAAAATACATAGTTTAGGCTTTTTATGTACAACACCGAGGAGGTTTGTTTTTTTTTGTTAAGCACAAAGCTACATAGCGGGTATCGAAACCCGGTTTTTAACGCTATAAGTTTTAAAACATACCGCTGAACCACTGGAATATATATATACCCACCCGGTATATATAAAAAAGAAGTTTCATCCGTACCTCCGACTTATACGCCTACACAATTTGACTGAATTCAACCAAACATAGTATGTTCCCTAAAGCGCCCCCCCCCGGGGGGATTATGTGTGTTCCACACCTTCGGTTTTTTTTCTTACTAATTTCAATCAAACCAAGCATATACCTTTACGCTCTCTCTACGGAGTTAAAAAAGTGGACTCTGCGTTCTGATCAGAACCACCCCTCTCGGAGACTGACATAGGGTGTTTAACATTTGGGTTTACCCCCTCCCCCTACCCTCAGTGTCACTCTCCATGGTCTTCTGTATTTCACGTTGTTAGTCCTCGGGAACTATAACTACTATGTCCGGTGCATTAGACAAATACGTCAACTCATATAATATAAACCTATGTTATATGGTAACTTTAAATGTGTGTCCTAATAGTCAAAACTGTTTTTAATTGGTGTTGAGACCAGCAGCTTTTTGTTAAAAGCACAAATGAACTAAAAACCAATTTACAAAGATATACAGTTAACTACCAAACCGGTTTCGTCGTAAATAGTCGGGTAGGTACCTATCTATTTTTGTAAATTGTTAGTTTGTATTTAAGTTGTGCTTGAAAAGGGTATTAATCTTAATATCATATTTTTAGGTAGCATAAAGTACATCAATCAGTTT